GCACTATATCGTATCTATATGTAATATATCTAACGTTATTTATCTGCCACTATTTTATCTATTTCTCTATGTAACTTGCTATCTATTGATCCATCTCTCTATCTACAGTGATTGTCCACCAAATACTCAATCTGCTACAACATTACCAACTCTCAAAGCAACAAACCAACCTAGTCTGCAAAGACAGATTCAAATGAAGGCCACTAAATAGGGATATCCTATCTCTGAACACACTGATCCAAAGTGATTCACATGACAAACCGAACCAATCAGCTGATTCACCTGATGTCCGACGAACCCAACTGCTTAGGACGTCACTCGAGTGATTCAAATGTCACTAGTCACGTGACCGAAACACTCCATTGATGTTTGTTGTGCATTTGACTTATGTTGCGGTGTGCATTTAATGTGGTAGTACTTTAAGCTATTGAAATGCATGAGGATTGTGGGTGGAACAATCTCTCCAAGCTCTAACACGCTTTCTCCTGCACCCTGTGTGGCCTACGTTGTGTTCACTGGCCTAGGTCAGTTTGATTTTGTTCTGTGACCTGTGTTCATCACATCAACTGTTTGAACACGTGTCTGTATGTGTACATTTCTATGACTGTACAAATTTTGGTTAAATACCATCGCCGTGTGGCCTTTTCAGCCAGTCCTCTGTTTGACTGTTAACACTTGGTTTCAGGGTTAAGGTTTGGGTCAAGGGCTAGAGTTGGGTATTTGTGATGGTTAGGCTACAGGGTTATGCATTAGGTCAATGGGTGTCCTCACAACTAGTGTAAGGCCAGTGTGTGTGTATGCCATTAAAAAGTCTCCATCTCAAAAAGATGGAGGCATTTGCTGCTGTGTGATGGGTTGTCTATTGCTACCAACTATCTGTTCTTGACATTTTCAGAAAGAGGAGCTGATGCTTTGAAACACTGGACTGTGAATGAGCAGAGTCTAATCAACACCAAAGGGAATTAAACTACAGAACCAGGAAATGGGGGATTAATGTTAGTGTTGAGTTAAAAGGATTTTGCCTTAGAGCAGTGGTTCATAAACTACTTTGCACAAAGTAGTGAACAAACTATGCAAAAAGTGCATTCTGGGCTCCATCCAACACATCTAGGTGGCCTCCTCAGGTAATTAACAAGGAGACTATATATTTTATTTTTGGAATATTGTTATTGATGCAGTAGTTTCATTTTAACTATGGTTGCAACTCACATTTGCTTTTATTATCAATCTGAGTTTTTTCCAATTAATGGTTTTGGCCTGCAAAATGTCAAATTAATGAAAAATGCCTCAGTTTCATTAGGCCAAAGGTGATTTATTCAAAACCAAATACTCAATTTATGTTATCGCAAACAAAAGCTACAAACTATAAGAAGTTGAAACGAGTGTTTTTGACTGAAATATAATGAAATAAAAGTATGAAGTCAAATGAAAAAGCTCAAACAGAAATCTAAGTTGTACATAAACACTGTACAGTGGTCTAATATTTTATTGACAGACCACTTATTTACCTCTGTGGAACCGATACGCATGTATTCAGTATCTTATATCAGGGATAAAAGCCTTTTCAGGTCCAATAGAAAGGTGAGGGATTGAAATAGGTGAGGTCGCGCAGGCGCACAAGCTCGTCAACTTGACAGGAGGATGCTGAGCTGCATTCCCATCATTCTGTGAGCAGAGGAGGACTCTCCTGCGCATACACAACGGAGGAGACGCCGAGCCGAGCGACAAGAATAATCTAAAATAATCCAAATTTAGCTTTTTATCTGCCACCATGTCAGCAGGAGGCGATCTGGGGAATCCCCTGAGGAAGTTTAAACTCGTATTTTTGGGAGAGCAGAGCGGTGAGTCAGTTCTTAATAGGGTTTGGGTTATCCTACCCTAACGCCAAACATGTTGAAGGCCATGTATGTCATCTCTGATTTTTGCAAGTCTGAGCTGCATCCAGAAATGTCCTGGCTGGCTTTTGCATATCTGACGCTCATGTTGATCTTGGCCAATTTGTGACTGTGGAAAATTTGATTAACCGAGACAGAGAAAAGATGGAAAAACCCGCATGCACACAAATCGCACCCTTGGATTAATATAACTCAAAAATACATGCTAGGTGTACCGAATATCATTGAGAATGTTTTAGCAGACGCTCGTTGTCATTTCGTGTCAAAGCAGACGATATGGATTCGGATGTTTTGATGTGCTGCAGTGACCGACAATTTGCTCAGCCCATTTCTTGATAACGGCTTTATTTCATTCACATCGCCAATTTTTAATATTGAATGTCCTTTATTATTTTAAAAGAAGTGTCTGATGTATTTTCAACGACTCGTGATCTGTATATGAGAAGATAAACGGTCCCCATGTGTCAGCTTGGGACACACCCTAGGCTGGCGATGTCTGTAGCATCTCTGAACCTGGCAGTCACCATTCGGTCCTATAAATCATATAAAAACGAGCATGACAGCGCCACATATTTATACTATCTATTCAATAATCCATCTAATCAGGGTGGGGGATGACTGTTTGTGGATAGGGGTGATGGCACAAATTCAGTGGCAGCTGATCGATAATGGTTTTGCAGCCCGAATACGTGTTCAGACATCAGATATCCAGAGTGGCAGCAGAGGAGCTTGTATCCCATAAAATAGGGAAGCAAAGAGCAGAATACACATCATTAGGCCCACTTTGACAGCGGCTCGACTGCTGTTTGCTTCTTGCATTGTGATGTCTGTATGTGCACTCGTGTGTGTGTGCTGCGTGTCTCTGAGGAGGCTGTGTGTCGACCCAGAGCCTCCCTGTGGTGTTTGTATGGCTGGTGCTGCAATGTTGCTGTCCATGGTGCTGAATGGAGGCCTGGTGTGGCCACTGCCCATCGCTGGCTTCAAAACTATTGCTGCCTGCGTAAAGGAGTCTGCATGAGAGCCCGGGGCCTGCTGGAAAACTCCTCACTGATGTAGATCTGCTGTAAAATGGTGCTGGGTGGGATGTAAATAAAAACGGAGCTCGCTGGTGAGACCGCCGTCCGGGTTGGTAAATCTGCTGAACATTTCCATCTTAATGTGTTTTCTATCAGTTTAGTTTGTTCTGCTGCCCTTTTGGTAATTATGGATCATTTTGGGATGCAACTTCTCTTTTTCCAAAAAAGGATGACTAACAGCATGTCACCATGATTTCAAGATTGTGAGAATAAAATGAATGTTTCTTCAAGATCCTGCTTAGTCATTTTCCATTATTGTCTTTGTCACCAAAAAATTATGCTATTTTGGTTTGATTGTTAATTTCAGGGCTGCAACTAACATTCAGTCTGAGTCAATCATTTGTTTGGTTTACAAAATGTCAGAAAATACCAAAAATGCCTGTTGCAGCAATTTGTTTAGTCAGACCGGCAGTCCAACCCCCCAATGTCAAATGCTGCTGTTTCTGGTATTTTTTTTTTTTTTATACCTTTAATAACTGATGATCAAAATAGCTCTGATTATGATGTTTGTGTGAAAACTATTCTTGCTTCCATTAAAGCAATGTTTGATCATGGTTGCTCAACAGAAAATGCACATTGCTTTTCAGGGTCCATTTTTGTTCACGTTTTGGAAAAGTTTGCTTTGAGAAGATGTTGAATTATCAGGTAAAATGTGTCCTGGGGTGCAGGAGCTGGATTATACTTTTCTATGGCTGAACTTACTGTGACTGGGCACCAGTTTTTACATCAGCATGATGCACTTATAAGGCAATTGTTTATTGTGCTGGCACACAGTACTAAAAATCAATCTATGTGCTCTGTTCCAGTGGGGAAAACATCGCTCATCACTAGATTCATGTATGACAGCTTTGACAACACATACCAGGTGAGACTTGGATTAGATAGATATACAAACATTTGGAAACATTGAGATGTATAGCAAAGAACACCGTGCATGATATGATAACAGATGTGGCCAATTACTGTGATTAAGAAGCGGTGTTGGGGACTTTTTCATGCATATTTTATGAGGAATTCTGGGGGTGAAGGATTTCTGCACATACTGCTCTCAAGTCTTAGATTTGAATAAATGCAATAATGAAACTTACAAAAATATTACAATCAGTTTCTTTTTGGTCCAAAATTCCTGCTTGATGTACAAATAATCAAGGTCCTGGGTAAATGTTAATATGATTATCAAAAGGAGATAAAAAGGTATTTTAGCAATATTAGACTCATAAGGATGCAGCCTATTTTTGCCCTTTGTTAAGAGTTAGGCCTGTAAAATCTGAGTGATTGAACCCTGAGGGCAGCACAAATGAAATTTGATTTTCAGTCTGATTTAATTTCAGTGCTTATTGGCTTGTTTGTTTTGTATTCTCTTATTTAAAAATGTTCACTCTGCTCAAAACAGCAGAAGGTACAGAGGGACATTTAGCTTTTAAGAGCTGGGTGTTACTGATGATTTTTCCCTTTTGCTTCTTCTCAATAGGCGACCATTGGAATTGACTTCCTATCAAAGACAATGTACCTGGAAGACCGAACAGTAGGAAGTCTTGACTGTCATTTAAAATTCACACATAGATCCACACATATGGATGATTTAATATATCAAGATCTTAAATAAGAGATGTATTGATTTCCTCTGACTGATTCTTGATTTGATTTGCTTAAGCTCTGCTCTTTTCACACCCTGAAGTAATTATCCCAATGTTATTTTTGGTAGTAATTGCTACTTTGTGGTGTTTTAGGTTTTCTGGTCTTAATGAATTCAAAGCCTTCCCATGGATCATCTATTTTAGCTCATATTAATTTTATTTCTCTGTCAGGACATGGTCTGTCAGCCTGCATGTGAGCTGATGCTGGCTTATCCCTGTATACAGTGTACAGTAATGTGATGTTGAAATGGCTGCTGAGCATGTGTGGTTCTGCGTGTTTGTACACATGCAGGTAAGGCTCCAGCTGTGGGATACAGCCGGACAGGAGCGTTTCAGGAGCCTCATCCCGAGCTACATACGAGACTCTACAGTTGCTGTGGTCGTTTATGACATTACAAGTGAGCAACAACCTGCTAATTTAAATGTGCATGTGTTTATTTAACTGTATGTTCTGATCTGAGGCACTACTGTATGTGAGTTTTTATATGGGATACTAACATCAAGACAAAAAACAGACTGGATATAAGCTGAATGTTTCCCACAGATGTGAATTCATTCCAACAAACCTGCAAATGGATTGATGATGTCAGGACAGAAAGAGGAAGTGATGTCATCATAATGCTTGTTGGCAACAAAACAGATCTGGAAGAGAAGAGGTGAGAGTGTCAGACATAGTACATAAAGGACATGTAGCTACAGATAATGAGGTCTTTGACATGTAGATATTTTGTTACCTGAGTAAGAAGCATGTCATTGAATGTAACATGCCAGTAATGAATAAATTAGCCTTAGACATCTGGATGCTGATTCTGGCCTGATTTTCCTGCAGGCAAATCACAATTGAGGAAGGAGAACAGCGAGCCAAAGAGCTGAACGTCATGTTCATCGAGACTAGTGCCAAAACAGGCTGCAATGTCAAACAGGTGATTCGTGCTGTTTCATCACATTTCACAGCATTTTTGGGATCATTTCCTCTAAGATTCTCTGCCATTCCTATGTCCCTCCTGGGTGATGAAACCACCAGATGTTTGTGTAAATATCAGTAATATGTGATGGATAGTGTGCACATTCAACCCTTGTGCATACTGAACATTGTAAGCAGTGCTGGGATGTAACTAAATACATTTATCAGAATCAGCTTTATTGGCCAGGTGTGTTGGACACACGAGGAATTTGACTCTGGTACATCAGCTCTCAATGTTAATGTACAATGTTCTTCCATAAAGCAACAAGTAGACAAGATAAGACCGAGAGGAAAAAAGAAGAATGTGTAAACAAGAAAAGGAATGTGGATTAGGAAAATCAAATCAAGTGCTTAGAAATATGTATGCACACAGTTTAGATGCATTTTGTCAGATATACCAAAGTATATTTATATTTACATGTTAAAAACTAATAGTGACCATCCCACTGTCCTACAGCCAATACATGACATAGTACAATGTACAGTTTTTAAACTTCCTTTTTTTGCTATCTTCTTTTGCCTGGTCCCAACTTCCCCTCCCCCTCTTTCTCTCCTGTCTGTATATCTTCTTTTCTTCCTCTTCTCACTACCCTCCTCCTCTTCAATCCTCCCAGCTGTTTCGTCGGGTTGCAGCCGCCCTACCTGGAATGGAAAGCCTGGATGATGCAAATCCTGAAGGCAGTATCCTTTACAGTCACTGCGATTCATGGTACCACGAGCCAAACAGCAGGTTATTTTTAATCTCTTAGTGGTAGTTGGCACTAGTGCAAGCAGACCGCCCAGTCTGCTGTCTACTGGGGCATTAGACATTAAACCTTTTTTGCTTAATAGAGAAAAGATGCACAGAGCCAAGATACTAGTGTGAATGCACAGGTGGTGTCTTAGAAATGATGTGCTGAAGATGTGTGGTGGTGGATGGACAGGGACTGCCTGAAACTATTTAAAAAATATCAAATGAGACTAGATCAGTTTAACAATTTAAAAAATAAATATACAACCAATATTTGACTTTAGAATACAGCCTGCAAATTAAAGTGTAGCCTGTAGCTATGAAGCATCAGTAGGGCATTGTCTGGGTTCCTTAAATGAGGAGAGAAGACAAGAAATTAGGGAAGAAGGGGTAAACAGCACTGTGTTTACAGTGAAGACAGAAATAAACACCTCTGTCCCATAAGTATTTTTAGATACCCGAGTAGCTATTTTATAGTCACAGGGTACAGTTTTATTTATATTGGCTAACAACACAGGAAATGTTTGGGTTCGTTGCAGTAGCACAAGTGACCACTGGGAAAAATAAGCTAAATAGTTTGAGGTTTCTTTGTGAGTTTTGTAATGACGGATGAAGTTGAATGTTGTGGTAGTCATGTCACTCATCTTTGTACTACACGCTTTGCATGCTGCTGTTCTCTTTTTACTACCAACATCGAAAGCATAATCCTTGAATCCAGATGTTATTATTTTTGGACTAGGCCCCTTCATAGCTGTATCCTGGCATGTTATATTTTAAAAATAAAACATATCTAGAAAAATGCAAATATTTAATTTAAGAAAGTGAAGTAATTTCAAGTCACCTGTCTCAAGTCATGTGACTCAAGTCCCCCACCTCTGATTTTTACCTCCTGACTTCTCCTTAACTGGACAATTCCCAGTGATCGACATCAAGCTGGACAAACCAGCGGAGCCAACTGTCCCCGAGAATGGGTGCTCATGTTAATGCAGAGCTGCTAGCAGACAGCTTCGTTCACACCATAGGCTTGTTGTGTTGCTTACTACTGGTTAGCTTCCAGTTGACTTCTCTGATTGGATATAGGATAAGGGCCTTGTATCTGATTGGACAAATCAAATGTTATCTCTCAGTCTTGTTCAGTTGTAAGATATTGTATACTTTGTCAATATGTAAGTGACTGGAGGAAAAACGGGCAGAAAAAGTGTTTAAACAAAAACAAACAAAAAGCAAGTTTCAGAAAAATGAACGGAACATGATTCTTTTTGCTGTTATGTTTTGTATTTTTATATATATA